AAAAAAAAACTTTATTTTAACTATTTCATGAGGCATACCCCTCGCCAATTTCTTCTACCCACCTGCACAATATCAGCAATCAAGAAGATTATCAACGAGTTGAAAGAATGCATGTAAAGCAATTCCATAGCCTGAATATCATAATATCATAAAAAGACAATAAAAGTGTTAAAACTATACCTGATAAGTGTGAGAGAGGGATTCAAACTGCATGTAGGCAGCAGCCTGTAGAACAGCAGCTAGCACTCCATAGAACAAGGAATATTGGTCCAAGGAAAGTTCAAAATTCACTGGAATAGGCACTCGAGGCAAACCGAATATTTTGAAATTTTACGCAGTTACCTGTCAAAAAAGATGTGAATGAAATAGCGGCAACACCGATCAGCTGGGTATGATCCAGTCGAGCCTGGCGAGTGAGGGCATTTGTGCCAAGAAGAATTATGAGTGGAGCAAATCTAGAACTTTTAGTCAACAAGCAATCGACGAAATTTTTATGGCTTCTTATCTACTTTTGTTGAGAAAAAACTACATAAAAAGTTAATTGGCCTTATTTAGCCTTACCTTTTTACTGACTCAAAAGCAGGCAGGCCTATTCCTTCAAACGCCACCACAGTTAACCATTGTGCGATACAGTAGAGGATGGAAGGAAGGAAGCAATGACGTCCTTTTTCGAAGCTATATGGCGATAGCTTCACAATTCCTAGCACCCTGTAAAGAATCCTCGATCAGTGTCCTGGCGTCATCTTCGTGAATGAACAAGCGAAATAAAAATTAGACGTTTTTTGAATCTATAATCCAAAATTTACCTACGACCTCTTATAGATGTATTCATTGGAAGGCATTGTGTAAACCATTGCTTACGCGGCAACTCAAATAAACGCTCGAAATTTGCAATGTAGAAAGATTATGCGGTATATAGACGAACTGCTCTTTTGGTACATAGGAAGTAGTTTTCGATTTTCTAGTAATTTTAATCGACAATAACTTGAGAAATAGCAAATGGTTCAATATCTACCTCTTTCGTATACTATTAGAATCATAGTCCCTTTCTGAAGATGAGCAAAAGGTCTAAATCTAAGAAACTGGCTGACTGACTTGCGATTTGAGATCAGCTTTTACAGTTTTCCACCTCTTACAACCCACATAGCAGGTTCACCTTTTCAAAATTTGTAAAAGCCAATACAGCCTCTCAGATAAATTTTGTTGGGTTAACAAAATTCTCGAAAATATCAAGCTGGCGCCAAAGTTCTTGCGAAATCCAAGCGAAATTTAATAAATTCAAATACTGAACCTATCCATAGTTTGGCACCTTAAACATATTAGGAGGCTTGCGCTCCATAACAAATGTTCAACATTCTATAAATTAGTCACGAGCGAAGAAGCTTCCAAAAATGTCACAGGTTTTGTGATTTTGAGTTTGGTGTTAAAAATCGTGGAGGGCCACTAGCTGGCTCAAAGAATCCGCAGAAATTACACAGCAAAAGTTTGTAGGCTGTGGGAGGTTTTGATTTTGAATGGAAACGGAAAATTAGAATCTTCATCAACGATGTCATTTTACAAAGAAAACTTTTATTGCTGCAGTTTTTGCAGAGAAACACAGTATGATAATCGAAAAAGCGTCTCAGCGTTCTATTAAATAGGCAGTATGCGTAATTTTTGGTTTATACTGAGTTTCTCTGAAAAACTTAAGCTAAGAGGATTCTACCCTGCGAAATAATAATTTTCAAAAATTTATTTTTGTGTCTCCATACGAGACTGAAGCATATAGATAATATGTGGACTTCTGCTATGTAGGAAAATTTTACGGGTTTTTTGATCCAGCCGGTCCTCTACGAATAACAACAGACTCGAAACATTTGGAGTACAATTTTTGAAATCTTCGTTCTCCGGGGTTCTTGTGATTAAATTGCCTGACAACACTACCTATACCTACCTCAACAATTCCACTACGAACAGAGTCGTAGCCATCTGGAGCATGAGGATAACGACCGGATAGTCGAAGAAGAATCGTGTAACGACGATTTTCCCGACAAGGGAACAAAATAGCGTTGTGCCGACATAGAGCGCAGCACTAATAGCAACAAATTATCCAAAAATTTTGTGAAAATGTTAAGTTGAAGAGTACCTGCGTAGTGCCGGTGTCACTAAGAAGCGCATGCTGAACTGAGGATCAAACAATGAGATCTGCCCCAATTTATGTTTAGATTCTTCCTGAGATATCGGAACGGCGCCAGCGAAGATGAGAGCACTAAACTTTGTTTCATTCAGGGCGAAACTGGAGATATGGAGAAACAAGTTTTTGGGGTGGATCTGGTATAGTAGTTTATTACTTTTAATCTTACTCTGTAGTGATTGCTCAATAAGCTAAGGATGACTGCTTGGACTGATTTAGTCAGACAAAATGCCGAAGGATAAATGCCAGCTAACTATAATTGTTGCTGAACTGAGATTCATTCATTGATATTGATATAATAATTATATATATAATAACATAATAATATTTGGTAATTTATGATGTAATATATAATAACGTTTCTGTGAAAAGTTATGAATTTCGAGTCTACAATA